TCATATAAAAGACAAACGGCTGCAGTAAAAGTTTCATCCGTCCTCATCGGGTGAGATCGAACAACGAATCCCTTCTTCATGCATTTTCATTCGAAATGAAGGTCCCCCTAACAATAATTATGTAGCAACCCACAAATTGGCAAAGTTCATGTCTGAAACTCAAGAAGGTAAGCGACAGATTATCAACCACAGTGAAATGCCAACATGAATTTTCTCAGAAGATCAAAGACATGACTTTGGAAGAAACAGAATTATTATTATAGGTTTTGATGTACAATCTGTATAGACAAGCATCTTTGGAGAAAATACGCTAGTGACCCTGTTTGAGATATGGGATCAAGAAGAGGATATCCTGGAAGCAGACAGGATCAGATGGGAGTTATTACAACTTCTAATCAACTTGACGATAAGGACCAACTACACCATATTCAACTGCAAAATCTATGAAAATATATTTGGACTTCATATGGAATGGCCACTGTAACTTCTAGTGGCAAATGCATACATGAACAAATTTGATGAGAATTTCAAGACTTCACCGCTGCAATCAAGAGTGCTCATGCGGTACCTGAATAACTACTTCGCCCTTTGGTCACATGGAAGAGATCAAGTGGAGAATTTCCTGAAAGCTATGCGCTAAATTGATGAAATAATCAAGTTCACAATAGAAGCAGAAATGAAGGGGGGCGAAAGTCATCCGCTCGAATGAGATACTAAAGAAAAAAATGTTCATATTCAAGTCCTACGCCGGAAAAATACTCAATTACGGTTGTCACACCAACTGCAGGCTGAAGATAGGGGAAATGAGGAGCAGGATCATCAGAAGCCTACGATTAGCTGATGTAGAATTCTGGGCTGAAGAGTTGGAAAAGTTGACTCGGATCTCCTTCAGTAGCGCATACCCGAGAAAAGTCATATAAAGAAACATACGGGCCTTGGAAAGCCGATAGAAGGACGGGGATTATGGAGGAAGGGTAGGGATGGAGAAGAACGCACAAAAGTGGATATGCCTCCCTTCCGACGACTTAACTCGAAGCTACGACTGACATTGAGAAAATACAATACAAGGCAAAGGCAAAACTCGTCACAAGTCTACCCATGCAACGTGAGAGGATGGAGAAATTAGAGTTATCTAGAGTTTACTGCATAGCATGAGGGGTCTGCAAACAGAAATATATTGTTGAAATAGGGACAAAACTAGCATACAAATCAAGGAACATCAAAGTCTTTGCAGCAAAATGGATACCGAAAGATCAGAAATAGCGGAATATGTTGCACAGAATAGTCACGAAATCTATTGAAGGGCCACAGAAAGAAAAGCCTCATACGATGCAAACACAAGGAAATAGAAGATTATGGAAGCCATTGACATACTTGCGGAAAGAAATATAATAAACAGGATAATGAGATGTATTCACCCTATTTCGTCTAAGGTGATGAAGGACTGGTAGTAGAATTTTCCCACAAT